ACCCAAGTAGGAGAAGTACTTGGAAATCTGTTCTTGTCAAATTCAAGAAGAAATTGGCTAATTAGAAGAGAAGACTACTTTCTTTTGCTGGGAGATTAACTCTAATCAAGTCAGTTTTCCAATCTGCCGGTTTCTATTTATCATTGTTCAAGATTCCTATTGGGGTGGCTAAGGAGATTGAGAAAATACAATCAGCTTTCTTGTGGGTTGGATCAGACCTCAGAAGAAAAGTGCATTTAGTCCATTGGGAGGTAATTGCAAAGAATAAGAATTTAGGTGGTTTGGGGTTAAGGAGGATTAGAACATTCAATGACTGCTTGTTGCTAAAATGGTGGTAGAGGTTTGGAGCTGAGAATCACACACTCTGGAAAGAAGTGATATGCGCAAAATATAATGTTCAATATGGGAAATGGTTGCCAACTTTGGAAGGTAGAGGTTCTAAGATCTGGATTGATATAATTAATATAGCTTTGTTGAATCCAGACTTGCATAATTTCTATATTCATAATTCTCAGATAGCTTTGGGGGATGGGAGTAGAGTTCACTTTTGGTTGGACAAGTGGATTGGTAATGTGTGTTTAAAGGAGGAATTCCCTCGACTCTTCTCTCTATCTAATAATAAGCATGGGGTGGTAAGGGTGTTTTTTGAAAATAGGGGTGTGGCTGATGATTGGAACCTTGAGTTTAGAAGAACTTTGTTGGCATGGGAGGAAGAGGAAGCACTTAAATTAGTTTGTTTGCTTAGGAGTGCACCAGATCGTTGCAGTGAAAAACCAGATGTATTGAAATGGGCAGCAGAGTCATCTGGACTGTTTAGTGTAGCATCAGCATATAAATTGAGTGAATCGCTTGTTGGTTCGATTATGGCAATAAAAGGCTCTATATGGAATAATTTTGCTCCTTCTAAAGTACAATTTTTTTGATGGTTGGCATGGCTTGGTAAGGTCAAAACTTCCTGGTTTCTTCACAGAATTGGTATACTTGATGGGAGTGTCAATCTTGAATGTGTGTTCTGCCATAATGATGTTGAAACCGTGGAGCATATTCTTCTTGTTTGTCCTTTTGTTTGGAGGCTTTGGTCAAACATTGTGAGATAGTGGGGTTTTCAGTGGGTCATGCCAGGTTCTGTAGATGGACTGCTACAGTGGTGGTATGAGTGTAGAATGTCAAAATTGGAGAAGAAAATCTGGATGGTCATTTCTATGGCAACTCTTTGGTCTACTTGGAGGCAAAGAAACGAGTGTGTTTTCAAAGGATTACAACCAGATTTTGAAGCTCTATGCGACATTGTGAAAGTTCAAGTAGCTTTGTGGACTAAGGCATCGCCACTATAGGTGGCAGCTTCTGTAAATGATCTGGTGTACAACTTGCAACAGGTCAAATTCTAACTGAGGATTGGTGGTTAAGTGTGTATCTGTCATGGGAGTTTATCTGGTTGAGTTTTGTTTGTTTTTACATCAGAAATGGTAGTGATTTCAATTGATTTTGTCTGGTATGTTCCTTCTGATTGCTTTATCTCTTTGATTTATGATTTTCTAGTTTACAAAATGGACTGAGGCATTGCTACTATTGTTGATCTGTATGGTATATAACTTTGTGATTATCAATTTGTTCTGTTTCTTTTGCTTCTGTGCTGTTCTTCTGAGTCTACAGAGCTTGTTTGAGCTATTCTTCTGGGCTGTTCTGTCTTACTTATTGCTCTGTCTCTCTATTCTATTGATCTGAGGCTGGTTTGCTATGATGGTATCTGGTATCTTAGCTGTTGTCTGCTCTGGTGTCTTAGCTGCAGTGTCTTAGTTGTTCTGATGTTTTGAGGGTGTTTTGATGTTGGTTAGTTATGCTGTAATGAATTGGGTGTTTTGATTGCTGCTGCTGTGATGATATCTATTATGCTTGATGCTAGTTATTTGTCTGCTCTGGTTTGGTTATGCTTTGGTATCTGGTGTCTTAGCTGCTGTCTGCTCTGGTGTCTTAGCTGCAGTGTCTTAGTTGTGCTGCTGTGATGAGTTTGGGTGTTTTGATTGCTACTGCAGTGATGATATCTGTTATGCTTGATCTGGTATGGATTGGGTGTTTTGTCTCAGGTATATGTTAGTCTAATTTGTTGGTCTATCTTGCTCAGCTCGGTTGACTGGTTCAGCTAACAGCAGAATTGGTATGCTCAGCTCTGTGGTGTTTTGGTCCTTTTTTTTTCCTCTTTCGTTGGTTCTCACCAATCCTGGAGTGCTAGCAAATGATAGGAGGGGCTTCTTGATGCCTACCTAGTTGGGATCATTTAGCTCATTGTGATACTCTTGCATTTCCCTTTTCTTTATTGGTGTAATATATTTCATACCTTATACTTCATCCTTACATCAATAAAGTCTCTTTTTTACAGATCAAAAAAATAAAAAATAAAAAAATAAGGTAATGAATGATACGTGAGTAAAATTATGAAGGATTGATGTGATTATATATAAAAGCAAATGGTCATTGTATGATTTATAAATAGGAACCAATAATGAAATAAATCGTTAGGATCGTTCCACGCAAATTTAGTTTATGTGATATGTATGTCCTTATAATTCATCACGACTTTCTTTTCTCTCTCATGTCTCCCGTTTTTTTCTCTTCTTTCCTTCTCTATTACTTTTTTTTCCTCTATCTTTCCTACTCTCATTGCCAATCTCCTTTCACGCTTTTACTGTTGAGATTGTGTAGGAGAGGGTTCAAGAAAGGAGTTGGAAAATTCGAAGATCTTCGAAGATCCTTGAAGAACAATTTCGAATTCTCTAGAATATGATGAGAGGCTTAGATTCTTCAATAATCTCAACTTAGGAACACGACAACAAAGGAGATGATGGAGATAAGAGATTGGGTGAAGAAGAAGGCAAAATGGCTAGAGAATAGAATAATGGCAAGGCTCTCCCATTGATCTCCCACTTTCACTCTCAAGGTTGGGGCCCACATAATAGAAGAATTTCTGGCTTTCTACTTCATATATCCTTTAATCCTTAGGCCCCATAACCATATAGATACAAGGTGTTGTTCACCCCTCACTACAACAAAATTTGCCTATTACCACGTTTTTTAGGCAACGTTTTTCTGAAAAACGCTGTGAAAGACCGAAAGTGAAATTAAGACACGCATGTTGCACCTTATAACGGTGATCCGTCTCCTTTGTCCCCATTTCGCTTTCCGTCATATTGTTTTCTCTCTCCATTTCTCTCTATCGTTTTCTCTCTCCGTCCTAGATCTAGGGTTTTCTTTGTCTCCTCATGCTCCTTGAGAGGTTCACCAGGGTTGATTCCGATCACTTGTTCAGATCTAATTCTAAATCCATCGATTCTTGCATCAATTTGATTGAAATTTCTTGATGATTTTTTTTGTTTTCCTCGATTCTGATTCTAATGATTTTGTAGAGGAAGATGGTTCGGTTGAGTTGCATAAATCGACGGGGTTACGAGACCGAGGAGTGAAGAAGGATCAAGATCATTGAGATCGAGACAGAGACTGAGACCGATCGAGTCGGAGCAAGAGGAAACCAGCTGATGAAATGATAGGCTGTTCCAAGAAAGCTCGAGCGCGATGGCGTTGGATGCGCTCTACCTGTTGAAGCTCCTCCTCAGGTCTGGCCCTCCCGTCGCTACCATCCCTCGGGTCTTCTCTCTCTCTCTCTCTCTCTCTCTCTCTATTGCTCAATCAGATCTTCGATCTGGCCTCTCTGCAGTGGAATTTTTTTTTTAATCTTTTCACTTGCTATTTTTGGTCTGCTCTCTTTTCAATAAAATCACATTCACTTTGATCTTTTTGCTTTTATAACTTCCAACTATTATCATCTGAAGAACATCTCTGGTATCAATGATTTACTAATATTTATGACTTTACTGTATTGATGTATACTCAAACCCAAGTTCAATTAGGCACACAAAGACATTGATGGTTGATCGGGATTTAAGTGTCAAATTTTGGTTATAGTTGAGAATTTCCTGTAATTTTTTTTCATGTTGATGTATTTAGATTCAAAATCAGCTAAGAATCTATTTTCATAATTTTCATTTGGTCTCTAATATTTACATAAAATTGACTCCAATTGCAAGTTTAAATATCAGATTTGTTAATAGTTTAAATCAAATTGGGATGTGTAATACTTCTTTGCAGTAATTATGAAGGATGCTTGTTTTTGTTTGAGGGGAATTTAGATCCATCTTATAATGCTAGTAGTATTTATGAAGTTGACAATTTTGTAGAATTATATAATTGAGAGAGAGAATGTTGGGAGGAGGTACACAGAAAATCGTGTTCTTCTCGTAAGAGAACTGAATTAGGTTCTTCAAGATACATGGATGGTCAAGTTCGATTTTCTGGAATTTTGACCCAAGAATTGTCACAAAATCTTGGTAATCATGCTAAGTAGATTCCCATGACTTGTTATTGAAAATTTTGTAATTGGCATGCCTTGTGTTCTTTTCCTTGTTAATAAATTTTCATATTCCTGTAGTCCTCTCTCTCTCTCTCTCAAACAAAATTGTGAAAATTTTGAATCCTTACACATTGATGTTTACAAGTGCTGAACTTATTCACATATAGTTTTCAATTTATTGTAGTTTTCTTTTTATTTTTCTAGATGGATAAAGTATGTAGCACTACTTGGTTGTCTTTTAGGCGATATCTTGTAATCAATTTCATATACGGAAAAACAGAAGAAAAAAAAATAGCAGCTATTGTGAGCCTTAGAATTATGGCAATAAAGTGGCTATTAAAAAATGCGTTGTGAAATAGTATGGAGTTGTTGATATTATTATTATTTTATTTGGAAATTTTGTTGTTTCGATTTTTAATTAAATGGAAAGGAGGAAAAAAAAAAACCTCAACTGAAATGAAATTTTTCTTAAGATTTTTGTTGTTGGATATCTTAAATTTTTGTGAGATATTAGTATTTGGAATGTCGGATTGTATTGGATGCTTTATGCTTTTGATGGATATTTATTATTTGAAATGTTAAATGCATCATACTTTTGGGAATTATTGAGTTTTTGTCTATGTTATTTATTTATTTTTTACAATTTCCTTAGTGTCCAGCTCGCTTCGATGAAGCCATCACTTTGCACTTCCTTAGGAGGTCTTCTTGTCTCAGTTCGCTTTTTCACCTTAAATAACAGTAAGGAAGAAATCTGTTACTATGTTCCCACAAATAATGACCATTGAATAAGGAATTAGTCATCTACAAGCTTAATTATGAATAATGTTTTATCAACTTCTCTAATTTAACCCCAAAAAAAAAGTAATTTTATTATAAAATTAAGAACAATACCTGTCTAGCATTAGACAATCCAATTGACAAGAGCTCATCCATAAGTGTTTCCCAAATAAGCTGACCCCTGAAGAATAGTTCTGTTCCATTCTATAGAGAAAAGATGAAGAGATGACATAATTAGTCAAATCTCTCTCTCTCTCTCACACACACACACATGCACACACACTACATGTAAAAAATAGAATTTGCATAATTCCTGACCAAGCTGAAAAACATCCACTGGACTTGCCTTAAACTCACTTTCAGGGTGCCCAGCAAAAGATGCACCATCACAATAGCGTATCTTGACTTTGTTCCAGTTAAAGAAATCTGAAGATACCCAAAATGATCCAATAAAAGTCCTTTGTTGATTAAATAAGAATAAGAGTGTAGATGCCTATCCAAATCCTAAAGCAAGCATTGATCATATCTAACTAACATGAAAAACAAGAATTCAAAGGCTTAAAAAAGAAATACTGACAATTAAATACATAACTCTGAGAGGGGTGAACAACACCTTGTATCTATATGGTTATGGGGCCTAAGGATTAAAGGATATATGAAGTAGAAAGCCAGAAATTCTTCTATTATGTGGGCCCCAGCAAATGCTGTCATTTTGTGAGTTCTTAATTCAACAGTGGCAAAACGAAAGTCCAACCAGAATATGACATGTTCCAACAATAAACAAGATACTTGCCTTCATAAGAACCAGCTACAATGGTTAGGTTATTGCAGTTCAGGAAGAAACTATTGTTGGCCAATATCTGTCCATATGAAAGCAAAATTGATGATAAATTGCTGCAAACATCAGTAAGGGTATTCTTTGTTTTTTACTCTTCGCAAAATACTAAAATGAGGCAGCAAAATACCAAGACTCATGCTAGTTTTTTATTCCACCTTCTTACAAATCTAGTGTGCTTAAGAAGGATAAGTTTTCAAATTTTCAGCTGCACGGTATTCATAACATTTTCAGTGGTACATAAAATGAATAAGCCTTGCATGCATATGTACATAGATACAAATATGAATATGTAGATATATCCTCACAAGCATAGATGTTGCATATATAGATGTATGATTGCCAGCATTCATACATAGATGAGAAAAGCACACTTAACCATGATATACTGTTGTCACACCAGAACAATTGAAAACTATATGTGAATAAGTTCAGCACTTGTAAACATCAATGTGTAAGGATTCAAAATTTTCACAATTTTGTTTGAGAGAGAGAGAGAGAGGACTACAGGAATATGAAAATTTATTAACAAGGAAAAGAACACAAGGCATGCCAATTACAAAATTTTCAATAACAAGTCATGGGAATCTACTTAGCATGATTACCAAGATTTTGTGACAATTCTTGGGTCAAAATTCCAGAAAATCGAACTTGACCATCCATATATCTTGAAGAACCTAATTCAGTTCTCTTACGAGAAGAACACGATTTTCTGTGTACCTCCTCTCAACATTCTCTCTCTCAATTATATAATTCTACAAAATTGTCAACTTCATAAATACTACTAGCATTATGAGATGGATCTAAATTCCCCTCAAACAAAAACAAGCATCCTTCATAATTACTCCAAAGAAGTATTACACATCCCAATTTGATTTAAACTATTAACAAATCTGATATTTAAGCTTGCAATTGGAGTGAATTTTATGTAAATATTAGAGACCAAATGAAAATTATGAAAATAGATTCTTAGCTGATTTTGAATCTAAATACATCAACATGAAAAAAAATTACAAGAAATTCTCAACTATAACCAAAATTTGACACTTAAATCCCGATCAACCATCAATGTCTTCGTGTGCCTAATTGAACTTGGGTTTGAGTATACATCAATACAGTAAAGTCATAAATATTAGTAAATCATTGATACCAGAGATGTTCTTCAGATGATAATAGTTGGAAGTTATAAAAGCAAAAAGATCAAAGTGAATGTGATTCTATTGAAAAGAGAGCAGACCAAAAATAGCAAGTGAAAAGATTAAAAAAAAAATTCCACTGCAGAGAGGCCAGATCGAAGATCTGATTGAGCAATAGAGAGAGAGAGAAAGAGAGAGAGAGAGAGAAGACCTGAGGGATGGTAGCGACGGGAGGGCCAGACCTGAGGAGGAGCTTCAACAGGTAGAGCGCATCCAACGCCATCGCGCTCGAGCTTTCTTGGAACAGCCTATCATTTCATCAGCTGGTTTCCTCTTGCTCCGACTCGATCGGTCTCAGTCCCTGTCTCGATCTCGATGATCTTGATCCTTCTTCACTCCTCGGTCTCGTAACCCCGCAGATTTGTGCAACTTAACCGAACCATCTTCCTCTGCAAAATCATTAGAATCAGAATCGAGGAAAACAAAAAAAATCATCAAGAAATTTCAATCAAATTGATGCAAGAATCGATGGATTTAGAATTAGATCTAAACAAGTGATCGGAATCAACCCTGGTGAACCTCTCAAGGGGCATGAGGAGACAGAGAAAACCCTAGATGTAGGACGGAGAGAGAAAACGATACAGAGAAATGGAGAGAGAAAACAATATGACGGAAAGCGAAATGGGGACAAAGGAGACGGAGCACCGTTATAAGGTGCAACACGCGTGTCTTAATTTCACTTTAGCTCTTTCACAGCGTTTTTCAGAAAAATGTTGCCTAAAAAACGTGGTAATAGGCAAATTTTGTTGTAGTGTGAGTGCCAGAATCTATCACTCTATTATGATAAAAGTTCTTATATTTTTCATTAAAAAGAGGGAGGGGGGGAAGGCTTGAAGTATAGTCTAGCATTTTGTGTGTTTTGGGATTACGTGCATGGAAGATATAAATGCTACCCTTCTTCGTATTATATGGGAAATTCTATTTTTACATACATACTTAGTTCAGTACAAATCATTTCTTGTTGGAACAATTCGTCTTAAATTCTTTAGTTGGTGGTCTTCAAGTCTTCAAAACTTGGCGATAATCTTATCTACGTAGAACATAAATTTGGTGTTTCAAGTCACGTTACTTAGTCACTTTCCTAGAGACAATATTTGCACTCATCAAAAGGTGCACAGGGGGTTACAACAAATTTGGCTCCAAGATACAATGAAGTTTAATCTAAAGATCAAGTCTACTGCCGTCTGCATTGGCGACAGTAGATTAGAATACCCTTAATATAATCAAAAAAGTCAAGACACTGATGATCAAGTCGATATAATTTGATTACAAGTAAGAAAAATAGAAACTTGCTTAAAACTCTTGATCGAAAACTCTGAATCAAAAAGGAGAGAGAGATAGAGAGAATTATAGGAATACTTTCTAGATTTTTTGATCGATTGATATGGCTGATTTCGCAGCCTATTTATAGGCCTTGATGCATCCGATTGAATGGTTATGTCCCTTAATCGTATCCGATCAGATCTGACTGTTGGATCAACGATCTATGATACAAATCATTCTCATACCGAATAAATACCTTGACTGGTCATACTTGATCATGATCAGGTGCCATCTCATCCGTATGATCGTGCACATCTCCAATCAATGACCATGATCAAACCGATCTAGATTGGACACGCAACTGTTCGATCAATTAGTTGACTCATCGCCAATGAATGCCACATCATTGCCACGCGGAGCTAACTGTATTCTACATTACCTATGCCACGTTGAATCCACATCATCGCTATAACTTGTCTGATGCAAATAGAATAACGCCCTCATGTCGCCTTGCGCCGATGCGTCCATGCTAAATGCAAAGTGTGCCATCAAATGCTACACAGCCCACTGTCATACCACGTGCGAGTGTGTACGCGGATGGTGCTAGTGCATGCACACTAGTATCTATTCCACAATTTCATATTCAAAGGAATATTCTGTGTAGCACTTTATTAAGTGTTTCATATTTTCCTCTCTTTCCAATGTGAAACAAAGTCTCCAAGGTTATTTCAAGCTATCCAAAGAAAAACAATGAAAATTTTGAAAACACCCAAAAGCTAAACAATAAATTTTGAAAACCTATTTTGAAAATTCTCTAACATTTCTCAATGCACACATTTATTAATTTAGTTTTTTATTATTCTTCTCATTCTACACACTTGATGTTTTAATTATACCCTAACTCATATCATTGTACACATACCATCTAAACCCTTATTTCACACACCTTTACCCCATTTACCCATTTCAATTTTCTCTTTCCGCACACCTAGTGTATCAAAATAACCCATGAAGAAACAATGAACAAACAGTGAAGAATCATTGAAAAAATAATGAAGACACAATGAAGACCCATTGACAACTCCATTAACCCCATTGAAATCTATCTCCATTGAAGCCCTAAATAATAATCGGACAAAATTCTTCCAAGATCAGAAGGAGAAGATGCTTTCATTCTCCGGAAAGTTGGGTTGGAAGATGATAAAGTGAAATCAAGGGTTGACTGAAGGTTTCTGCAGTGAAATTGGGGTTGGTAAAGGTGTTTCGAAGGTTTGGATGCACAATAACAAGAACAGTTTTGGGGGAAAAAAACACCACCACCACAACAATTAACCACAGTAGTCAGAATAATGCCAGTCAAGTAGTTAAGTTTGAGAACAACAATGGCGATCATCATTATCATCATCATCATCATCAAAGTGAGAATAATAATGGAGTTCATCATCTTCATGTCTCTTTTACTAATCGATGTCCTCCTTCAGCTCAGGCTCAGCTTGATTCAAAGAAAGAGACACTACAAGAATTACACATTTGCCGATCAAAAAAATTTTGGTCGCAAAAAAATGACATTTGCCGACTAAAAGTAAATTTCGTAGCTAAAAATTTATACTATTACTGACTCAAATTTTTGGTCGCAAATAAGTAATTTTTTGCGACCAAATTACACTAATTGTCGCCAAAAATATGGGTGGGAGAATGAAATTAAAAAGGGAGCTGTGTATGCTATTTTAGCGACTAATATAATTTGGTCGCTGATATCAAAACGACGTCGTTTTGGTATCTAAATTCATTAGCAGACCATCAGTTTGGTAGGGGATAACTTTACTAATTCAAACACATATAAAAAATTCCTACGCGCCTCTTTCACACCTCAGTCGAATTCGATCAAAGGTCAGTCGTGCCAATCACCTCACCTTACCATCAACCTTGCCATCCGCCATCATCAGCTCTCCACTATCTGCGCCTACGTCCCTCTTCGCCATTTCTGTTTTGTCTTCTCCATTTCTGATTCATCTAGGTATTTTTTTCAACTTATAATAGTTTCTCTCTATTTATATCTCCGTGTCTCACTTTTTCTCTTTGATTTCTCATACTCGTCTTGTTCTACAATGTCTCACCCACCAGGGCCCTCACCATCGCGATTTTTTGGAGCATCTTCAACTCTCCCTAAAAACAATTTCATGTATAAATCCCCTGTATCACTCTCATGAATTCAGTCTCTGCCTGTGTCTCCCTCTCACTGTCAATGTTTGTGTTGATGTTTGCTACTAGGATATGTCGATTATAAGATTTCGTTATGTTGTTTGTGAAGTCCCCCAATCTGTGATGTTCTTGTAGTATTTTTTTGCTCCTATTTCTTTAAGTATCCCTTTTTATATTGGGAAATATACTTAACGAGAATAAAAATTTTTGGGGTGCTTTTGTAAGTTATTTGTAATTTGATTTCCGAACAAATTAGTTGGTTAATAAGATTTATTCTTGAGATTTTTTAAGTACCCTTAAATGAGCCACAAACTGTACAAGGACTTACCCTATATACCATCCTTTAGAAGTTGGAGTTGAATTTTTAAGAAGAGACTTAAAAATTAAAAAATAAATGAAAAAAGAGAGTGAATCTATGTACACAGAATAATTATGGGTTATATACAGGGTAGCACATCTTCCATTCTATCAATCCCTAAACCAATTACAATATCCCAAACCAATTAAAATATAATAAAAAAATAAGTTAACACCGTGACAATATCCTCTTAGGTATGCAATTATTGTTTATCTCTATGCTATTTACGTAAGGTAAACAAAAGATATATCAAATTCTTTTCTATAAGAATTGAACCTGCAAACTTCACATTACCAAGTAGTACCATACAACCACTAGACTAAAAGCCCTAATTATGTTATAGACCTTGCATAAGTGGGATTCATGTGGGGTTAAGGAAAAAAAAATAAAGTAGTAGAATTTTTAATCCAAGTTTATATGCTAGGGAAGCATCTCTAATAATTTTTTTTTTTTTTTTTTTTGAATCAGTAAAGAAAATTTTTGATGAAGAAATCATATATTACATATGAGTTTACATCAATAAAGATGAAAAGGAAAAAAAAGAGGGAGGGGGGGGGGAACAAAGCATGATGTTGGTGATAAACCAACTCTAGCTTAAGCCAACACTTGGGCTCACCCAAAGACTAGTTTTACAATTGCTTATAACCCACAAGAGCACTTAACTTTAAATCCTCCACACTTACCACACTATTGCCAACAGAAGAGTTTTACACAATCTTACCCTATTCTCTTGTCTCAAATTCTATATCGTACCGCACAATAAATATTTTTAGCATGATTGTGTAGTGGAGAGTTGATCTAGTATAAAAAGGAAGAGATGATTTGGACATAGGATTGCCATTTGTTTATTCAACAAATCAGATGGAAAAATTTATGAAGTGTTATTTTATTCATTTATCAATTCATGCTTTTATGTTATCTTATGAAACACCAACAAAAAAATTTAATAAATCTTACTATTTAAACAAATAAATATTTAATTGAACCACCACATAAATTTGTTCAATAACTTTTCAGCACTCAAAGGTGTTGACTTCTGTAGAGTTGATTAATTACTTTAGAGTTTAGGGCACCAAACCGAATAGAGATTTGGTTGCTTGTCCGTAAAGTGCACAATAGCAGACAGAGGAATGTGGAAAGAAACCTTAGTTTTTTATTTTTTGACTCAAAGGAAAGAAACCTTAGTGGCCAAGTTTAAGACAAGAAAAAGAAGCAAATGAGAAGAATCCAATGAAAAGCTCTAAAATGACTAAACACTCCTCTCTTGTTATAAAGGCCCTTTCTCCATTAAGATGCAAGGAATACTCATAAGCCCTCCCCAAATGAACTTGTCTAAAACCACAAGCAATTAACTTATGTTAATAGTTTTTTAATTAACCTAATTTTAAAATAATAGATCTTTTTGTTCGCCATATTTTAATATTTTATTTTACAAAGTATATGTGTCACACATGTTTATGGATGCTTGTGGCCAGGTATTGGTTTCTTCTTTTTACTATTGTTTTTATTAGGAGTTTTGTTTTAACGAAAAGATTTATGTGCCTCTAATGTGAAGTTGGGTCGAATACATGTGTGCAAGGATGGACTTGTGGAATAAATTTATTGAGCAATAAATCAAATATTGTAGAGTAGCTCCTTTATCTTTTGGATCATCTAGTATGTTTATTTTGCTTTTAGTTCAAATATATAGTGTTTATCTGTAAGGATGTTAGCAAGTTCTAAAATTCCAAATTTTTACTTAGTGTCTTATGGATATCAAAGATCTGAATCAGCTCCAACACTTTTTATTCATTCAGTTGTCATGTACCAGTTGATTATTTTACAAAATTTTCAATCATGAGAAGTTGATCATTTCACAATCTCTCATTTTACACTACTGTGTGCATTTTTCCATATATGGTAGCAACTTTGATGGTGGTTTTTTGTTTTTTTTTCAATTGGAAGGTGATTATTTATATTTATGAAGATAATTATATTAAATTGAACAATCATAATTTATAAATAATAGAGCAAAAATAATCTATCTTTGTCTTTGGCATAAATTGACTCCCTAACTTGTAATTAGAAGTATGTAAAAATTGTCAACTAAGCTAGTCCACTTGATTAACTGTCATAGTGACTTAAACATGTTACTAGTCACAAGGGCATACTAGTTATTTTGAGGAAAGCAATGCCAATGGTCCATTTGGGCACACCAGGAAAAGAAGAGGTTGTGAAAGCAAATAAAGCACAAACACTTGTGTAAAAAGGGATTGGTATCGTCATAGACTCATTTTCCAAAGGCACAACAAAGAAAATGTGTTGTTCCAAAGAAACACTTGTTAGTTTGTTCTACAATGTTTCCAGCTCCTCATTCCTCCTCTTCCTCTTCTTCTACATCACCTCTATTTTTCTTGCCAAACTTTTCCACTATTGTGGCAGTCCAATCTTTCACTATTTTGTTCTGCTGATCTGTTTCCCCTGCTGTAGTGTTCCTTTGCTATGTTGATCCAAAAAAGAAAAGAAAAAAAAAACTCAGATTATTGCTGCGACTGCTAGTCTGTTAAAAAGAGGGTCTAAGGGTTGAAGCTGTTAGTCCTGCTAATAGTCTGCTAGTCTGCTAATAGTGTTGCTGATCTATTAGTCTGCCAATATTCTTGGAATTAGTCTTCCATTGAGTGTAGCTAGCTGCTTTTGTTGGGCTACTTGAACTAAAGGCCTCCAAACATTAAAGGAGTATGGTCTAATTATATGAAATTGATGAGATATGTTGTATGTTTTCCAAATTAATAGTGTAATTTATTTATTTAAAACTCAAATGTTGTTCATGTATGTAGAATCAGCTATTTTACTCTGCTGATTTTCAACTCTTGGCTGCTTTTGTTGGTCTAATTGTGCTCAGCAGTGGCTATTGGCTATTTTGTTTGTTGGTTTTGTTGCTTCGCTTTGTTTGTTGGTTTCTCACCAACTAAAGCTTGGAGCTTGTGCTAGCTCCAAGCTCCTCTTTATTGAAGGATCTTTTCATACTTTGGTTGTATTCATCAATAAAGTTTTCTTTTGCTGATCACGTAGCTAAAAAATATTTGTTACGGTATCCATGTTAGCATTGTTCTTTTGATTTCTTTGTTTCATAAGTGAAACATAAATTGTTTCATTTGGTGTGGAATTGTAAAACCCTATTTGAACAATTCTTAATGTAGCAAGTATTGCATGCTTGTAGGTTGCTTAATTTAGTTTATTTTATTTTCATCTTTATGAATCTCTCCTTTCCGTTACTGTTAGGAAATTTCATTTTGTAGTTTCTAACACTTTCTGTAATATTATGTAGATTAATTACTGTAAAGGTTGTCTTTAACCTTTCAGATGACCCAAATAGACAAGGGTTGGATGATAATAAAAAATAGATTAAGTAGTAGGGAGTATCAAGAAGGGGTGAATTCATTTATTCAATTTGCGATGAGAAATGTAGGCTTGAAGGATAAGCCTCGGTGTCCATGTATTGATTGCTTGACCGACAAAAAACATACGATCCACATTGTTAGGATTCATTTGATTCGAAGAGGGATATCTCTTTCTTACAAGACCTGGGTGCACCATGGGGAACTTGTTCCTGTGGTTGAACCTCTCATACCGAATGAACGTCACCATGACATATATAGTGAAATTGTAGGGGAAGATCAGGATGACGGGGATGATTTGCCTACTATGTTGGAAGAGGTTTGTAGGGGTTTTGCAATGGATGATGAAGGGGATGAATTACCTGCTACTTTTGAGAGTGTGGATGGGCGAAACTTTGATAAGTTATTTGAAGATGCTCAACGTAAACTATACCTGGAATGCACAAGGTTCACTGTGTTGTCATTTATTATTAAGATGCTTCACATTAAGGTGTACAACAAGTGGAGCAATAAGTTATTTGATATGGTTATGAAAGTTTTCAAGGACACTCTACCTGAGTGTGATGAGACTGTTCCATGGACCATATATGCTGCGAAAAGATTCTTATGTGACTTAGGTTTGGGCTACGTTCCCATTCATGCTTGTAGGTATGATTGTGTACTATTTTGGAAGGAGCATGCAAATCTTGATAATTGCCCCAAGTGTGAAGAGCCTAGATACAAGTTGGACAACGGAAAGGGTAAAAAGATCCCTCACAAGATATTGAGGTACTTTCCATTGACACCAAGATTGAAGAGATTGTATATGTCCAAGAAAACCGCTACAGATATGAGATGGCACAAGGAGAAACATGTGGATGATGGAATCTTGAGGCATCCAGCTAATGCTGAGGCATGGAAAGACTTTGATCGGCAACATCCTATGTTCGCCATGGATCCACGAAATGTAAGGCTAGGGCTCGCCAGCGATGGTTTCAATCCATTCGAAAATATGAGCACATCATACAGTATGCGGCCCGTTATCCTAATGCCTTACAACCTCCCACCATGGAAGTGTATGAAAGAGCCTTTCTCCATAATGCCATTGCTTATTCCTGGACGATCGGCTCCTGGAAGAGATATCAATGTTTACTTACGGCCATTGATTAAGGAGTTGAAGGAGTCATGGGGGGATGGGGTGCGAACTTATGATGCGAAAAACGAAGAGTCATTTAGAATACATGCTGCACTAATGTGGACCATCAACGACTTCCCTGCATATGGTAACATGTCCGGGTGGACTACTAAAGGTTATTTGGCTTGTCCCACATGTAATGAGGACGCATCATCACAAAGGTTAACAAGTAAGATAGGGTACATGGGTGCTCGTCGTTACTTGCCCGAGAACCACAGATGGCGAAGGAGCAAGTTGTTTAATGGACAAAGTGAGGTTAGATGCAGACCGTTGGAGTTATCAGGGGAGCAAATATTAGAGCAAATTCAAACTGGGACATACAAGCCGTTTGGAAAACATCCAAATAACAGGAAAAGACAAAGGGACGAAAATCCAGTGTTGAATTGGGCAAAGAGAAGCATTATGTTTGAATTGCCTTACTGGAAGACGCTTAAGTTTCGACACAACATTGATGTCATGCACATAGAGAAGAACATTTGTGACAATTTGATGGGGACATTATTAAATGTGGATGGGAAGAACAAGGACATAGAAAAAGCACGGATTGATTTAGCAAATTTAAAAATTCGGAAGGAGTTACACCTACAGAGTCATGGTGATGGGTCATTTGTGAAGCCTCCAGCTGTGTACGCATTATCTACGAAAGAAACACAAGGCTTTGGTGCTTTTTTGAAATCAATAAAGTATCCCGATGGTTATGAAGCAAACATCTCCAATTGCGTGAATACTGACAGTGGCAAAATCTCAGGCCTCAAAAGTCATGATTGTCATGTGCTTGTACACCGACTACTTCCAGTTGGGATGCGCAGGTATCTTAACAATGAAATTGGTACGACTTTGTTTGAGTTAGGAAATTTCTTCCAACAACAATGTTCAAAGACGTTGAAGGTGACAGATTTACAGAAGCTAGAGGATCAAATCATACTTGTACTTTGCAAGCTTGAGAAGATTTTTCCTCCAGCTTTCTTTGATGTCATGGTTCACTTGGTTGTTCATTTGCCGCGCGAGGCAATACTTGGAGGGCCAGTGCAACATCGATGGATGTACCCAATTGAATGGTAATTATTTATGCTCTTACCATATCACTGTCATCAACCTTTAATGGTAGTCTATATATTGGCAATGTAGTATGGACATAGTAAAAAAAATTTCTCTTGTAGGCTACTTGGAATGCTAAAAGGATTTGTTGCCAATAAAGCTCATCCTGAAGGATCAATTGCGGAGGCGTACATTTCCAAAGAGTGTACAACTTTATGCTCGATGTATCTTGATGGATTTGAAACAGTGTTTAATCGAGAAGAAAGGAATGATGACGGCGGTGATCACGGCTTGGGGTTAGCCATATTCTCTCAAAAAGTTTATCCATTTGGTCTAATCAGTAGGGCACCAGATGTGCCTATCCACGAACGAGAGATGGCTTAGTGGTTTGCTTATACAATAGCTTTGACGTGGAACAATATCTAGAGTATGTTTTCAGGCCTCAAAAAAGTTAAATTCGCCATATATGTTTTGTCTGATTATTCGTAATCATATGTCTTACTTATCTACTATTCCTATAGGGAACACAAGAACATTTTGCAAAATAGAAGTACATGTGACACCACAGAGAGGCAACGGGATGAATTTCCTAAGTGGTTCAAAGAACGTGTAAGACATACCTATCTATCCAACATTTGAGCACATTATGATATAACCAACTTGAACAAAGTAACATAACACGTATTGCTTATGTAGATAAATCAGTTGCGGAATCAAGGGTCGCCGGAAGCAACGGATGAATTGTGGTCGTTGGCCAATGGTCCTAGTGTAATAGTCAACACATATTCGGGATGCATTTCTAATGGTGTTGAATTTCATACCATCAACTGTGATAACCGTTGTAAAACTCAAAATAGTGGGCTAGTTGTAGAAGGGGAGCATGAGGGTCATTCAATGCATTTCTACGGTTACTTGAGGAAAGTGTGGGAAATGACATATTTGTTTAGACATCGAGTTGTTTTGTACCAATATGAATGGTATAACACCGGTAGCAAGAAGACTTGTCTCACGGATACACATGTCACAAGTGTCGATGCAAAAAGTCGATGGTATAAACATGACCCCTTTGTATTCCCAGCTCAAGTAGAACAAGTATTCTACATTAATGATACCAAATTAGGTGGGAATTGAAAAGTTGTAGAACGATTCCACCATCGAGGAATATGAAATGTTCCAGAGATGGATGGTTTACCTGATGATGCTCTAAATAATGTGTTCCAACAAAATGAAACCACCGAGGTTGTACCAATTGTGAACGGAAACGGTATGCAAGTTGAAGGCGGTGGCAATCAAGGGGTTTTGTGTAGAGATGATATTGAAGGTGAAATTATTCCAAATACAATGGTTTCACAATCTCATAGTCAAACACAAGTCGAGGGTATTGTTGATGCTTTCATTTGTGATACTGACGAAGATGACTTCATTGAGGACGATGATGAGCAAAAAGAAGATGAATTTGACATTGTTTAACTATATAAATCATGACATAAAACCTTGATGTATTTAATACATACTGTTTGAGGACATACTACAACACTTTTTGTTATATATGTTGCTGATATGCTGTTGTGCTGTCTGTTTAGTTGGAGAGTTTGGTCTAATATTAACCTGTGAACTGCTGCTCTAGTTGTTGTTCTGTTCTGGTGCATTTGATTTAGAGTGTGTTCTGTGCTGTGTGTCTGTTGTAGTGCCTGTTTTGTCTGTCTGCTGTAGTGTAGATACCTGAAGGGCTAGCTGTCAGCTGTAGTGCATGTTCTGTTTTTGCTAATGTGTTGATCTGTGGTGCCTGATTTGTTTTGCTTTGCTCATGGCTGTGTATCTGTTTTGTTATTGTGTTGGCTTAAACAAATATTGGTGCTTGGGGTGGATGTAAGGCTGCTGCAGTTCAAGGCTGTGTGTTTGGTATGATTGCTGGACTGTAGTATTTCATGGCAGCTCTGTTCTATTTTGGATTCTCTGCCTGAAGGGCTGGTTGTCTTCTCTGCCTGATCTGTTTTGGTGCTTGGAAGGGCTGCTGTAGTGCCTCATCTGGTTTTTATTCATGGCAGTGCTGTAGTGCCTAATCTTTCTGGATTTTCTAGCTTTATTTGCTTTGTTTGCTTTGTGTGTTGGTCTCTTACCAACTAGGAGGTTGGAGCTTGTTATAGCTCCAAGCTCCTCTTTATTGATGTACATATTCATATATTTCATCAATAAAGTCTTCTTTTTGCCGATCAAAAAAAAAAGAAATTTAATATGTCATCTATATCACTTGCAAATTTATGTAGATGGATTAATATATATGTATGAAGTTAAGATTTTCATGGATGTTCATTTCTTAGTTATTTTATTTGTTAATTATTACTGTTAACGTATATGTACATGTTCACATTAAAAATTTGTGCTTATCCATGTGCTCATTGTGCACTTTTCGTTTGATTATGTTAAAATGTAACAGAATGGCTCCTGCAATGAAGATGCGTCATTTACCACCACCGAAGAGGGCATTACTTGAACCCTACTCACCCTCGACCGATACATGTACACCTTATCCTGAAGGTCTTGCAGCAGATGGATTTGAGCCTATTGGACCATCTCTGTCTCAAATTAATGTGTTGTCAGGATTTGAGACTATTGCACCATCTCCGTCTCAAACTAATGCACCACATGGATTTGAGATTTGTGAAGCATCTCTGTCTGAAACGCATGCACCATCTCCTCAAAGTCAAACAAGTGGCGCAGGTAATTAAATATGTTTCATCTACCTTCAATTTATCTGTTGTTTATATTTTTACATTAGTAAAAACACTAATAACATTATCAAATATGTAGGTGCATCTTCATCAAGGCGAGTGCAGGGACCAACAGTTGGAAAAGCAACAGCAAAAAGAGTTGCCAACAATAATGGAAACAAACTCCACATTCCAATCACTGAGACATTCAATGCATTCGAAGGTGTGCTAGCGACCCCAGGAGCTAATGAGATTGGCATTCAGATTAGGAGGATGTGCCCCATTCAAGGCGTTAAAAGTTGGACTGTTGCTGATCCTGCGACAAAAGGGGCTGTTGTACAAGCTGTCCGGGTATGATTTAATTTCTTTCATAGTATGTGTGGATTATGGAAGAAGTGCACTTTTTATGTGCATGTAGGATGGGAATTTGTTTTCTTTGTTGGTTATGAAAGCTTGTCATACATAGTAAAACTCTGCATATCTCGTTTCACAACAGTTTTACCTATTAGATTGCCATTTTGACCCTCTGATTCATAATGGTAATCATGGTACCACCTCAGGACTCGTAGGGCAGAGAAACAACTGAATTATAGGGTGTTAAGGAATTATGAGCATTGTATTGAGCTAGTCAAAAAGTATTCCCATTTTTTGTGTTAAGGAATTATGATATGGTGTTCCCAAAAAAATGGGAATACTTTAGAGAGCAATTTACCCAAAAATTCTGGTACGTGCAGAACATCTGAACAAGGCACTTCTGGTACGTACAATCTGATATTTTTAAATTTCACCTATTGGTTTTTGTTTTGTGTTTTTCTATATGTTTTGCATATTTGAGTAGAAGTAGTGAAATGCTGGCTTGTGAGGTCCACTTATTGACTATAAAATAGATGGCCTATCTTTCTGCATATGGCACTTGGCAATTATTGTCACTCAAACATCAAACCTGAATAAGTGTGGGCTATTGTTCTGTATGGCTGAAAATCCTTCCTTGCCACAGGATTAGTTATTGATTGAGTTGCTTCTAGGACAATAATGCATTTGGTAATGAAAGTTGTTTGTATCTCTGTCAAGGGAAAACCAGCTCAAAAAAAAAAAAAAAAAAAAAAAAACTTCGTCCAAAGAGAGAGATTACATCTTTGCATGGGGGATCAAGCAAGTTTGATCCTGTGAGACATTTAATTGTCAAGCTTTACCTTCTGATGAGAAGTGCAAGAATCAATTTTGATTTTCTAGCACCGGATGAGAAATATAATTCTCTCAAGTATATTTTGGTATGACAAGATCAACCTTAATCTCCTATGAATTTGTTACTCCTAATTTTAGTTTTAAGTTATGTTACTAAAATGTTTTTGCCAAGATAGTTTGGGACATAAGTGAGTATTTTTGTTTCCTGTACATAATGAGATGGAGTTGAGGCTATTGGAAGGAGTAAACCAGGTTAACTTTTTGACTAACCTCTTCGCGAGTGGGTTATTATCTTCAGGTGGGCACATTTTTTTTGGGTAAATTGCTCTCTAAAGTATTCCCATTTTTTTGTGTTAAGGAATTATGATCTGGTGTTCTGTGGCTGGTTAGTCTTGTTTGAACTATCTTTTAGTCTATTTGGCTTGCTGATCTGTTCGTCTGCTATCAGTCCTTGTGTTGGTCTTGGTGCTAGTCTGGTAGGTTATGTTGACTATTAAAAGGGTGTGATTGCTGAACTAATTTGTTGGTAGTCTGCTATTAGTGGCTAAGAAGCTGAACTAATCTGATAGTTGCCGATCTAATCTGTGGGTAGCTTGCTGATCTAGAGGAAGCTGTTAATGTTGTTTTTGCTAAGCTCATCAGCAGCTGCATGTAGTGGTTGTGTTGTTGGTTGTTTTTCTTGTTTTTTATTTTGTTTGTTGGTCTCTCACCAACTGGAGCTTGGAGCTTTAGCTAGCTCCAAGCTCATCTTTATTGATGTACTTTATTAGACTTTGTATATTTTGATCAGTCAAAATTTCTTTTGCCAATCCAAAAAAAAAAAAACAGACAAGTACGAGATTTAGATTTTGGACTATAAAATTGTCCAGAATTTTAAATCAATGGCAGACATTGAAGTTTCTTGTGGGCCACAAACCATGAATCAATTTAGACCATTGATTGCAAATTGTTGAGCAATTTTTTCTAGGTTTGCAGACTTGCTACCCCTAATATGATATAGGACATGGGTAAGGTAGTACAACCCAATTAGTCCGCCAGCCCGCCTCTAAACACAAATATTAGTACATTAGTTTTTCAAAATATGAACTCACATATCTGCTTCATGTTATCTGTGCTCTTTAATCGATGATTGAGTATTGAATCAGCAAACTAGTTCTAAAATTATAAATTATACTCTATCTAACAACAGCCTTAAAAATGAATCACAACAATACTTTTAGTATTTAATATTTTAATAAATATTATTAACTTTTCTCGTGCAAATTTCCTATTTGTGCCAAGAAAGCATTAGTGAATCAACCAATAATCTTTCTATCATACGAATGGCTAGAGTTTATCCATCTATTTTCTCAAACACCAAACAAACCAGTAGTTTTAATATTATAAGATATTAACACTTTCTGTTTTGATGATTGTTTAATAGTACTTACAAAAATTAAAGTTAAAATAAAGTTGTCCAACCAATCAAAGACTACTAGTTCCTTCCAG